CGTCTACATCATCTAGTACAACGTCCGCCACCTCCACATCATCCAGCACAAGTTCCTCGAGTTCCACATCCTCAACTTCTACATCCACGAGCAGTACCAGCACCAGCACGACTTCAAGCACCTCAACATCCAGCACATCAACGTCCAGCACGACCACGTCTTCCAGCAGCACTACGACGTCCAGCACATCGAGTTCGTCAACGTCCAGTTCGTCCACGTCCTCGACGTCTACATCCACCAGCACGACCAGCACCAGCACGACAAGCACGTCAACCTCCAGCACGACCACGTCTTCCAGCAGTACCAGAACGTCCAGCACAAGCAGGACGAGTTCGACGACGAGTATCACATCGACGACCTTCTGGAATGCAACGGTGCGGATCTCCGGATTCCTTGACTTAGCTGTTCGGCCGCTGACAGAAGAGAACGCGTCCTCTTGGGACCCGGGGCTTAAGGAAGGCCTAGCCGTGATCCTGAGCGACATACTTGGCATTGACGTGGCGGCAGAGGATGTAGACCTGACAGTGTTGAACGAGACACAGACTGGCCGCCTTTCCCAGAGACGGCTCCAAGAAGTGGTGGAACTGGTTCGTGCAACGTTCGTGGCATACAAAGCTTTCGTGCTTGAGCAGGACGCAGCTGGATTCCTGGACAACATTACGACCTCTCTACAGAGCACGGCTACATTAAACCAGGTGACTGCAGACCTTGCTGAGCAGTTGGAGCTTGCAAATGCCAGCTTTCAGGTGGATGAAGTCTTCGTGGTCCAAATGGACGTGGCCCAAGCTTCGGATCCCCCCATTGAAGTTGTCGTTCGACCGACCGTGCTGGAAGAACCAGACAATAACATCGCTGTGGCGTCTGTGGCGGCCATAGTCGCCGTGCTGGCAAGCTGCTGCATGATTATGGTGGTGTACAGCTATGTTCGAAGCAAACGTCCGGGACATGGGCAAAAGGAAGAGCTTGACGCAAGGAGCACTATGGCAGGTGTGACTGTGGAGAGCCAGGCAGAGGAGCCTGCAATTGACAGCATCATGGCTGCTTCCGGCGAGAGTGCCAACGTCACTGACATCCTGAACAGCGTCCAAAGGCTGGAGGAAGTCTTGGAGGAGGTCGGCATCAGCTTTGACCAGCCCATTGACAACGTGGCTGAGGACGCGAGCAATGACATCGGAAGGCTCGACGAAGCACTCGGCGGACATCTCGAGGCTTTGAAGATGATCGGCATCAGCTTCGAGGGCTTGGAGCCCGGTTCTCAAGATGGCGTGGTCGAGGTACATGATGACCATCTTAGCCTGTGATGACTGAGACGTCGAGTTTAATCGGTGGTCGCCTAAAGGCACGGCTCCGGTTGACAGAGACGCTTCTTTAGTCTCGATGTTCGCATTGCATGCAAATAGTTAGTTCTGATTTTCCTCTAATTTGTTTTATAGAATCCGCAGGAGCTACGCTAGCCGAGTGTGAGTGGCTCTTGCGGTTTAGCTTCACCCCCTTGGTCTGTTTTTCCGTGCGCTTCAGCTGCAAACCTCGGCCTCACCTCTCGACTTGGTAGTCATGTTTAGGGTTTTGGGTTTTGGGTTTAGGGTGCGCTTTAAACCGTAGAGCCGGGATCTTCGAGCTAGGTGATCTTGGGTGGGTCAAGTGTGCATATCTGCACAAGCATGCCGACGTGGGCAGCAATGCGACGGACCTTGGGTTGACCAAACCCAGAGATGCAGAAATTGAATCGGCAGGTAAAGGCGGTAAAGCGGTCCAATGGCATTGTTTGTGGTGTGCATGATCAGACCAACCTCTTGACTAGACTGCTTGTGACTGCTTGTGTTTCAGGAAGACATGCAGAGAAACGATGAGCTTTGCAGCCATCCGCTTAGCTTCATGAAATGGGCCGCGCTGCGAAATAGAGCCCGTACCCTCGGTTGTGCCAATGCTTCGGTTCATCGGGTAGCGTGACAGCTTCAGGCGGATTTTGCTGTGAGTTCTTGTGTGTGGTGGCCGCTAGTGAGGTTGCGGCAGAGACGGCCACAGCGCCTGCAGCAGACGACAGCGGCCGGGGCCCACGCAGGGCCGCAGGGCCCATGATGGGTGCCTCCTTCAGCATTCGCATCTCAGGCGATCGTGCGCTCCAGGAGCTGCGCCGACGCGCAAAGGTGCAGCCGCGAAGCAGAGCAACGAGTTTCCTGGTGTGACCGCAGGTGTAGAGGAAAGTATATAACTTGTCCACAGCTGGTGGGAGGCATCTTCAACTGAGCTCACAACTCCTCCTGCCCGTCTATCTGCCGAGAAGCTGGGGCAACGCTGGCTCCTTTGCTTGTGAAGGCGACAGTCTCTGCAGGAACTTCCGAGCCGTGAAATCTCCAGGTGGCCGCCTTACGAGAGCTCAGGCCTCAGCCTCTTAAGGAGCTGCAGCAGCCGTCAATGTCAATGCATGCATAATGCGGTTTTAGTTTCAGGGAAATTGGGCATCAGGAGGCTGACCTCCGAGACTTGCTGCGTCGCTTCGAAGCTGGTGTCGGACACGAGGCTCGACCACACCCTGTTGGGACAACGAAACACTGCACTCATTGCTGCGGGGTAAACTCACTGCCAGTGTGTCCTTGCAAGTGGTTTGCGGACGATAGGAGACTTCTCAAACGGCGTGCGGCCCCGCTCCGCGACCTATGACCTGTCAGATGTTTGGACCCCGCCCAGAGTTCGCCGACACTTCCAAGTCAAGTCACTGCATCCTCCACCCGTGGTCTCCGGGCAAAAGCTTTCCCTAAACCCTGAACCCTAAACCCCTAAACCCTAAACCCTATACACCCCTGAACCCTAAGCCTAAACCCTATAAACCCTTAAATCCTAAACCCTAAACCCTATAAACCCCTAAACCCCTAAACTATAAACCCTATAAACCCCTAAACCCTATAAACCCCTATAATCACCTAAACCCTAAAGCCTCAAGGTCCGCATCAATCCAAGAAGGCCTCTCTCGGCTTCAAGTCTGCAACCCGGTCTGCTTAAAGGCTTGAACCTTCGGAAGGGAGGTCTGGGGTTTAGGGTTTAGGGTTTAGGGGCGTAGGGGCTTATAGGGTTTAGGGGTTTATAGGGTTTATGGTTTAGGGGTTTAGGGGTTTATAGGCTTTAGGGTTTAGAATGGCTTGAACCTTCAGAAGGGAGGCCGCCCTTTGCCTAAAAGGCCCTTCTTCTGGTCTTCGGTTGTCTCCAAAACTTAAAACGGCAGTCCTCGAAACGAAGGGTGCTCAGTTGCCCACTGCGCAATCTTCCGGTCACGAGCGAGATGAGATAAGTCAGATAAGTGCACCCTACGTCCAACACCCTTGAAGTGCTTCCTGAGCATTTCAACTAACTTTACATGATTTGTACATCTTAATGTGCAGAGATTGCAGAGTTTCATGTTTCTTCAGACCTGTTCGGCCCGACCCCCAAGGCGAGATCTGTGATTTCAGTGCTGGAGATGAGTCCCACCTTCTAGGAATTTTTGCGGGATATGAGTCCGACTGACTCACATGGGAGTTTTCCAAAACAGGGGGTACCTTATTTTGGGGTCCTTATAGTAAGGATCCTACTATTTAGGGTACTATATTAGGGTCCGCTATTTTCGGAAACCCTCACATGAGCTGCAGATCCTGCCATGTTGCGAGGCATTTGGGTCAGCGGGGGTACTTCTCATTTCGCAGATACTCGACGGCATCACAGCAAGTGTTTTCCAAGACAACTCGATAGATCCAGGAGTCTCCTCCCTGTACCCTCAAGCAGACAGTCTGGTACCCCTTGGCGACGTGTATTTAAGACTTCTTTATGACACTCGTTTTGTTGTAGTTGTAGTGTTTCACCTCTTCAAGGACGTACGTGTATATTACCCCTAAACGGAGGTAGGAAATTTGGGATTGATAGAGGCAAATGGAGGGAGTAGGATTTCGTGTTCACTTCGTGTTTTCGCTCCCGCTGCCGTTCAGGAGCTGAGCGCTCAGTTTGTTTCACAATTTCGTATGTCGTGAGCCACATCTGCCCACACATGCCGTGAGTATCCACAGAAGGGGCTGACACGTCGGAGCTTTTGGGAGTCGATGTTGCTACGCCAACACCGAATTCACTCAGTAGTTACACTACCGTGACAGTGTGTTGAATGTACAGAGCTGAACAGGCTGTCACGTGAGGTTGGTCCTACTTGCGAAGAGGGATCGTGCAGATATACCCCTTACACTATAGACTTAGACCCGCAAAACTGATAAGAAGTCTCCAAGAGTTTCGGTAGATTTCAGCTCCTGGCAAGGTCACGGATGGAACGCTTCAACGTGGCCGAGGAGCTCCGACAGCTACGCCCCGCCGAAGCACGACGGCACTATGACAGCTTGATGATACCACCGCTAGGAGGTGCACTGCCGAAACCTAGGTGGAGACTTAGGCTGGTCCTCGTATCGCAACCACAGAAGATTCCCCTTAAACTTGAAGAAAAACTGGGGATTTGCTTCGGCAACTCGTATCGAAGGTGTTGAAGCCGAAGCCTAACACACAGATATATGATGGTAAACCCGGAGCCCCCCCCCCGCCCCCCTCCCCGAACAAAAGCCTGGCCGGATCTCCGGTTTTTCTTAAGGGACAAAAGGAGTGACCCCTAGAAGGGACCCCCAATCCTAGTACCCTATATACCCCTTATATACCCCTTATATAGTCTCATCAAGCCCAAATAGAACCCCAAGGGTCCCTTCAAGGAGGGTGAGAGTTTTAGGGGTTTTTGGGTCCGGTCTTGTCTGTTTTACAGGCCTCCGTGAAAAAGAACTACCGGCCCTCAAGTCGCGGGCCTACACCCTAAACCCTAAATTTTAGACGTCTTCCCCGAAATATGCGCCAGCGCAGGTTATGGTTGCCAAAGGTTTCACGCAAAAAGGAAGGCGGTGTACAGCAGTACAAGAATGCAAAAGTACAGTAGTTGTAGTACAATAGTAGAACCGTACAGTAGTACAGTACTACATGAGTACAATAATACAGCAATAAAAACAGCACAATTGTACAATTATACTAAAATACAGTAGTTCATTAGTACAGTAGTACAGTGCTACAATAGTACAGTAGTACAGGAGCGTAATAGTACAGTGGTACAGTGATACAGTAGTACATACAGTAGTACGATAGGACAGCTGTACAATACCACAACGGTGCGATAGTGCAGTACTACATTAGTACAATGGCACAATAGTAACATACAATTTTACATTACAAAGATACACAACTTATGGGTGGACGCTGGCGTTACAAACTGAAAGTGTCTCTACAGTATACAAAGTAAACACTACAAAGATGCACAAGATATGGGTGGACGTTGGCGTTACAAACTTATAGTGTCTCTAAATATACAAAGTGTAAGCTACAAAGATAAACAAACAAATCATGGGTGGACGTTGGGGTTACAAACTCATTGCAAAGATACAGAAATTATGGGTGGACGTTGGCGTAACAAACTTAGAGTGTCTCTAAAGTATATACAATTTTACACTACAAAGATACAGAAATTATGGGTGGACGTTGGCGATACAAACTTACATATAGTGTCTCTAAAGTATACAAAGTTTACACTACAAAGATGCACAAAATATGGGTGGACGTTGGCGTTACAATCTTATAGTGTCTCTAAAGTATATATATATATATACATCTATCTATCTATGTATATATATATATAGATATATATAATTATAAATATATATATATACATACAACTTTACGCTACAAAGAGACACAAATTATGGGTGGACGTTGGCGTTGCAAACGTATAGAGTCTCTACAGAATATACAAAGCTTATACACTACAAAGACACAGAAATTATGGGTAGACCTTGGCGTTGCAAACTTATAGTGTTTCTAAAGAAGTACAAAGTTTGTACGCTACAAAGATACAGAAATTATGGGTAGACGCTGGCGTTACACACTTATAGTGTCTCTAAAGTATACAAAGTTTTACACTACAAAGATCCAGAAGTTCTGGGTGGACGTTGGCGTGACAAACGTATAGTAGTGTCTCTAAATTGTACAAAGTTTAGACTACAAAGATACACAAATCATGGGTGGACGTTGGCGTTACAAACTTGAAGTGCCTTTAAAGTATACAAAGTTCACACTACAAAGATACAGAAATTATTATGGGTGGACGTTGGCGTTACAAACTCATAGTGTCTCTAAAGTATACACAGTTATCTTCTACAAAGATACAGAAATTATGGGTAGACGCTGGCGTTACAAACTTATAGTGTCTCTAAAGTATATATATATATACAACGATCCAGAAATCATGGGTGCACGTTGGCATTACAAACTTATAGTGTCTCTAAATATACAAAGTGTAAACTACAAAGATATAGGAACTATGGGTGGGCGTGGCATTAAAAAATCGGTGCAATAGTGCAGTAGTACATTGGTACAATGGCACAATAGTAATATACAATTTTCCACTACAAAGATACACAAATTATAGGCGGACGTTGGCGTATGTTGGCGTTACAATCTTATAGTGTCTCTAAAGTATATATATATATCTATGTATGTATATATATATATATACAACTTTACGCTACAAAGAGACACAAATTATGGTTGGACGTTGGCGTTACAAACGTATAGAGTCTCTACAGAATATACAAAGCTTATACACTACAAAGACACAGAAATTATGGGTAGACCTTGGCGTTGCAAACTTATAGTGTCTCTAAAGAAGTACAAAGTTTGTACACTACAAAGATACAGAAATTATGGGTAGACGCTGGCGTTACACACTTATAGTGTCTCTAAAGTATACAAAGTTTACACGACAAAGATCCAGAAGTTCTGGGTGGACGTCGGGGTGACAAACGTATAGTAGTGTCTCTAAATTGTACAAAGTTTAGACTACAAAGATACACAAATTATGGGTGGACGTTGGCGTTACAAACTTGAAGTGCCTTTAAAGTATACAAAGTTCACACTACAAAGATACAGAAATTATTATGGGTGGACGTTGGCGTTACAAACTCATAGTGTCTCTAAAGTATACACAGTTATCTTCTACAAAGATACAGAAATTATGGGTAGACGCTGGCGTTACAAACTTATAGTGTCTCTAAAGTATATATATATACAACGATCCAGAAATCATGGGTGCACGTTGGCATCACAAACTTATAGTGTCTCTAAATATACAAAGTGTAAACTACAAAGATATAGGAACTATGGGTGGGCGTGGCGTTAAAAAATCGGTGCAATAGTGCAGTAGTACATTGGTACAATGGCACAATAGTAATATACAATTTTCCACTACAAAGATACACAAATTATAGGCGGACGTTGGCGTATGTTGGCGTTACAAACTTATTGTGTCTCTAAAGTATACAAAGTTTACACTACAACGATGCACACAATTTGGGTGGACGTTGGCGGTAAAAACTTATAGTGTCTCTCAAGTATACAAATTTACACTACAAAGATACACAAATTATGGGTGGACGTTGGCGTTACAAACTTATAGTGTCTCTAAAGTATGTACAGTTTTACGCTACAAAGATACACAAATTATGGGTGGACGTTGGCGTTACAAACTTATAAAGTATACAATAAAGTTTATACACTACAAAGATACAGAAATTATGGGTGGACATTGGCGTTACAAACTTATAGTGTCTCTAAAGAAAAAGTTTATACACTACAAAGATACAGAAATTATGGGTAGACGTTGGCGTTACAAACTTAAAGTGTCTCTAAAGTATACAAAGTTTACACTACAAAGATACAGAAATTATGGGTGGACGTTGGCGTTACAAACTTGTAGTGTCTCTAAAGTATACAAACTTTAAACTACAAAGATATAGAAATCATGGGTGGACGTTGGCGTTACAAACTTATAGTGTCTCGAAAGTATATACAAAGGTTATACTTTCCACACATACACAAATTATGGGTGGACGTTGGCGTTACAAACGCTGCTGTACTAAACCGCCTTCCCTCTTTGCTCTTGAAACCACAACCTGCACTGGCGCATATTTCGGCGAAGCCATCTGAATTTAGGGTTTAAGGTTTAGGGAGTTTAGGGAATACCCTGCCCTGCCCTGCCTAGCCCTGGCCTACTCTGCGCCCCAGAGGATTGACAAATGTTGTGAATATAGGCGCTGTCAGATTGTCAAGCCTTGTCAATCTGCTCCCCCCCCCCTGCCTCAGCCTGCACTGCCCCTCCCCACCCTGCTCTGCCCTGCTGCCAACTTGCCCTCAAATCGAGGGCCTACACCCCAAACCCTAAACCTTCACTCAAGGCATCGTGACGGTCGGGAAAAGTTCTGGGCGATGCTTTGGAAGACGATGGGGCGATGCGGGGAGACAAGAGGGGGTGAGCAGATGAAGAGCCCAAAGGGTCCTAAGTACTGTTATGGGTAATACTCCCCTAAATCATAATGGTAATTCCTAATCTAGAGACCCTACATTCTACTATATAGGTGCTTAGGACCCTTTGGG